AAAAATAAAACTATGGATTAATCCCACCAATGATGTATATGCAAAAATTCTAAATATAAAGAGAATAAATACAATGAAGAAGTATGACAAAGAAATACTGGGGATGCCTGGTGGCTCAGTCGGCTAAGTCAGCTAATTGTTAAGTGTACTTAACAATACACAAAACTGTATATAATAGAAAAATTAAAAAGGAAAACATTGAAATGTGTTTATAAAAAGCTTGAGGGGAACAAAGCGTCTATTTTTATAACCTAGAGAGAGGTAGGAAGGACCTTCCTCAGTGTGATCAAATATTTAGAAGCCATAAAGGGAAAATACAAAAGATTTGATTACCTATAGTTGATCATCTATATAAGGGGAAAAACACGAGCAACACTAAATGGATTAGATATCCACTTACTTTGACAGCACCAACATCTAGCTAAGTCAGTTTGCCCTGATTCCCTGAGCACTAAATAAATAATCTTCTGATAATAATTTGGTTTCTGAGATAGTGATGCTAGGGAGAGAATATTCTGAGCAGCAAACACTAAGAATTTGATCTACTTGGCAACGATTTTTCTCACAGTAACAGAAATGATCACTCTTTTTTTATTTTCAAAAAGAAATTCTGCCCCACCTGATAATATGTCCCTTACTCTGCAAACTTAGAAATGCTCAACAAATGGGGAACTCTGTGCCCAGACAAAGATCTTGCATTATTACATTTACCCTTTCAGAGGTCAACAGGACCAGAGAGTTACACTAAAGCCCAATCTCAATGGTGGACTGAATTATATGTGCATGAACCTGTAAGGATAAAGATACCCCTCCAATAGGGCTTCCTGCACTCCCCACCTCCCTTCTCCCTCCCCCCAGGCCTATCCCCAAACATGCATTGCCCAAACCCTTAACACAAGGCCTGAGGGGGACCCAATGGACAGGGTCAAGTGTGGAAGTACAACATTCTGAAAAACAAGTATCTGTTATCCTGCTTAGTACCACACCTCAGGGCAAGGCAGACCAGGGGCCATTATCTTGGTTTTCTGCACCCCAAGATGGCAGCAAGATAGCTCTTGTTTAAAGGCACAGAAGAGCCGCAGTTCAGATAAAGAAACCAGAATAAACCTTCAGCCTGGGATATGATGTAAAATGAATGTACAAAGTTAACATTGAAAATAGTCATAATCATGCTTAGAAAAGCCATTATCAAGGGAAAGTAGCTAATCTCCATTTGTCAAAGTTCACCCCTTAGAGCATTAACTGCACTGTGTTTCCATGTGTGTAGTTTGGCTAGTTTGCAGCAGCAGTTGTCTCTTCTTGTTAGGTGGCACTATGTTAGGTCATTCCTCAAGCAGTAGCTTGAACAACAGTGACAATGGAAGTGGCAGAAACAGCATATAGGCCATTGCTGTATTTCCTCTGGATTTCAAGCAAGGCAGTTGGCAGAGCCCTAGAATGGCGAGGGGAAGTGGTTGGGCCAAGTGGAACTTTGATTTATATGTGTACTGAATGGAGAAATGTGATACTAATAATTGTTTTGAGTCCATTATGAAGGATGCTAAAACACGATGGGGACAGGATACAATATACTTTGGGCTATGCAAATTCTACAATTTGAAAAGGTGGTCTGGACCAAAAATTCTAAGTCAGTAGGTAAAGTACTCATAATGTCTTCTGTCTCAGGATGTATGACAATGAATGAGTTAATCAGTGCATTTAAGCATTTTCAAATCTGCTGCCTAATTCTGTTGTTCAAGTTATTACATATTGTCATCTTGCCTTACAACCAAGGACAAAGCATACTATTAGATCTTGAACACATGAGCAGTGCTAATCAAGGTATCTTTGCCAACACATGCAAGGGGGAGTGACATCCTGTTTGACAAAGTGGGTAAAATGCGGATAGAACTTTAAACAAGTTTTCAGTACTAATAGAGAAAATAATATAAGAATAAAATAAAGTAAGTTTAAGAGGGACACTGGGAATGAGACAATTGTTTTGAGTTCTTACTGTAACAATTGAATGATTTGTCGTGGTGTGGTATTTCTTCTTTTTTAAAGATTTTATTTATTTATTTATCTTGTCAGAGAGTGAGAGAGCACAAGCAGGAGGAGTGGCAGGCAGAGAGAAGCAGGCTCCCTGTTGAGCAAGAAGCCTGATGCGATGTGGGACTGGGACTTGATCCCAGGACCCTGGGATCATGACCTGAGCAGAAGGCAGATGCCTAACTGACTGAGCCACCCAGGTGCCCATGAATATTTTTTCAGATGTTCAAACTATACATCTGAGTTAGAAATGAGTTTTATTTTCTCTATTTTCTTCAGTTATCTCCAATGAATATTTTTTAGGAGAAAATTCAAAAAATTTTAAATCCGCTCCCAAAAATTTAGTTACAGTATTGTCTAATTTTATAAAAGTAACTCAGTACCCCAACTTGAACATATCAATACAATGGTCTTTATTATCTGCTCCATATCCAAACTGCTCATCCTACCTGACATATAGGAGCATCAAGATAAATACTATTTTCTCTGTTTCTCAACTGAACCTCACCTACTGGCAACTCCCAAGATTTTACTCTTTCTTCTACACCTTGCTATGTGGGTATCTATAAAGTTATGGACTCAACATAAAGATTATCATCTTCATCTGTGTCTTCATCAGGAAGAGTTTTGTGTCAAGTATCTAATAGAGGCGTTATCCAGTCATTTGGTTCCATACAGGATGATTTTAAACAACCAATTTCTCAAGTTTGGAAGGCTGCTGGCTCTACCTCTTACTAATGAAGTGATATCGGGAAACTCACCTGGCTTCTCCAAGTCTCATTTCTTCTGCAGTAAAAATATATTTACTTGACAGGATCATTGAGGAGATTAAGTGGAGGGGGTAGGAACTATAAAAGATGTCAATCAGTGTCTGACAAATATTAGGTATCACCCACTTTTTTCTTCTATAATATACATAATATATATGTATGTATATATGTATATAATATACTTGAATGTGTTACTTATCAAATTTGATTTAAAATTTGGTCTTTTATCTTTAACAAGATCTGTTTGTACAGAATTCTCTCAGCCTCAGCTCCCCATCTCTGGTGGTAAGAATGTGTCTTTCCTTCTGGTGTAGGGAAGACAGTTTTCACACGGGATTTTTATCTCCTGCCTTTAGGAAGAAAAGGGCAGGTCAGAGTACCTTTCTTGTACCTATTTTCCAAATGCTACTACTTCTTTTAAGATTTTATTTATTTATTTGTGTGTGTGTGAGAGAGAGAGAGGGAGACAGCGAGTGGGAGCAGGGGTAAAGGGAGAAGCAGATTCCCCACTGAGCAGAGAGCCCAAAGGGGGAAAGGAATTGATCCCAGGACCCTGGGATCATGACCTGAGTTGAAGGCAGACACTTAACCTACTGAGCCACCTAGGCACCCTTCCAAATGCTTTTAACTCAAAATAATCCTTATGCCAAAGGGGCATATTTTGGGGCAGCATATTCTATCAACTTTCACTCTCATATAAAGTTTAAAATAAAAAAGACTCACAAATTAAAAATAGACCCAGCCATAAAACTAAAAAAATTAAATTAACATTAATGAGATTGATTAAATGTTGCTTTGTTGTCTCGGAATCACCATCTGCAATATGAATGGAGTAGTGATGCTACAGCAGAGATTCCTTTGATTTAAACGTTCCTTCAGTAGTGGGAGCTTGATGACTCCTCCTCAACCGTCTGCCAGTTTCCTTAAACTACTGCAGAACCTCTATCAGAACAAATGATATACTTATTATGAAGCAAACACACTCTTTAAGTATTAAATACAGTTTTACATTCTTCTCATTGACTAGAAACAGAATTTCACTGATTTAAGATGCCTTTGATTATTAGATGCATCATTATTTTACACACTACAAAAGGAAAACAATACTTCTAATTAAAGTGTGGGACAATGTTAAGGTGCCAACAACTGTTAAGATGCATCATAACTTCAGAGATACCAAACTATGGGGAAAAGAAGTCTATCTACTACTAGTGAATACAGTAGTGCTACTTTGTGCCATGACACTATTTTTTAGAAGTCTTTTTCTAAATTAACATATAATGTATTATTTGTTTCTGGGGTACAGGTCTGTGATTCATCAGTCTTACACAATTCACAGCACTCGCCATAGCACATACCCTCCCCATTGTCCATCACCCAGTGACCCCCATCCCTGCCACCTACATCCCCTCCAACAATCCTCACTTCATTTCTTGAGATTAAGAGTTTCTTCTGGTTTGTCTCCCTCTCTGCTTTCATCTTGATTCATTTATCCCTCCCTTCCCCTATGATCCTGTCTCATTTCTCAAATTCCTCATATCAGATATGATTGTCTCTAATTGACTTATTTCACTTAGCATAATACCCTCTAGTTCCATGCATGTTGCTGCAAATGGAAAGATTTCTTTTTGATGGCTACATAATATTCCATATTATATACATACCACTTCTTCTTTATCCATTCATCTGTTGATGGACATCTAGGCTCTTTCCATAGTTTGGCTATTGCTGCTATCGGGTGCACATGCCCCCTTCAGATCACTACATTTGTATCTTTAGGGTAAATGACCAGTAGTGCAATTGCTAGGTCAAAGGGTAGCCCTATCTTTAACTTTTTGAGGAACCTCCATACTCTTTTCCAGAGTGGCTGCACCAGCTTGCATTCCCACCTACAGTGTAGGAGGGTTCCCCTTTCTCCGCATCCTTGTCAAGCCATGAAAATATTTAACATAACACAAAATTTGTCTCCCCAGTCACCAGTTGGTATCCAAACATCCCCATTTTTACCCTATCCTTCAAGCCCAACTTACTTAAGTGTCCCCCTCCTCTGTACAACTTTTGCCTGAGCACTGTTGCCTGCAGAAGTTTCTGCACAGATGAGAAGGGTTTGGCCATGATCAGAGGCTTGTGGTTTTGTTAGTGTATTTTTGTTTCCATACATCTTGCCTTTCCAAATAGATCATAAACTCAAGGACAGAATAATTTTTTTTTGCTGGTTAAAACACACAACTTTATTGATGAAACACAAGTCGAAGATTAACAAATGTAAACCAATACAAAAGTGTAGCTTATTTATGATTAGTCTGCTGTCAGTTTAGGTAGAGGAAAGAGTAAAAAATATCTCAATCTAGGTAGCAAGATGGAATCAATAAATGCTTTCTTTACACAAGCTCTAGTATTCAATAAATCATTAAAATGCTCCATACTGAAACCAGCCACAAGTAACATCACTGATGACTCTTGATATTCATTATTCCAGAGTAGGAGCCAAAAGGATCTCATTGTCATGTAAGCACAGTGGAAAACAAAGAATTTACAAAATGCATTGTTCCCAGTGCACAGTGAAAAATTATCTCAATATTGTTTGGGCCATACTCCAAATTAGAGTTTGGTCAATACTTTTAGGACTTTTACTTTCACCACCAGATCATTGTGATTTGCTAATGCCTTGATTTTCTTAACACATACTCCAGATTCTTTGAATAAGAAAAAAAGTGAACTTCTGCTGAATTCCTTCTTAGATGATGCGAGCCCTTCATTTTTTATGTTGTCATTTATATTCTCAAATAGAGTAAGGATATTAAGAAGAATCTCTCTGTCCCATTCTTTATTAAAGAGGGAAATCAATTCTGAGGGAACTTTACAACTGACCAGCTCTCTCGTCATGGCTGGATTTTCAGTAAAGTTTATAATTAGTTTCATAGTCTGAATCTTGGTGAAGTAATTTCCCAGGAATAACAAAGCAAAAAAGTCTGGAAAAGAATAGGAAAGCAAATGTTGGTAATGATTAGTCACAGTCATGTTGGTTAACAGTCTTAGTCCAGCCATCTGCACAGCTGAATCCAAGCGACAGATCATGGTATCATCACACACTTGACTGATATATGTCTTAATCTTCCCCTGATTTTCAGCATTCACACTCAAGTTATTAAGAGCATTGTAAGCTTTTTCCCTAATAATAGGATCTTTTGTTTTTATCAGTTTTGCAATAATTGGAAGACCACCCAATTCACGAATGGCATTTTGGTTAAAAGAATATGCTGCATTGTTACCCAGAGTGACCAAGGCTATTTCTTGAATAAAAGGATCATTTGATCGTTCCAGGATGTTAAGAACCTTTTGAAGGTCAGAAGCACCCAGAATATCATCAATTTTATAGGGAAAGTTAAACTTGCCCCTGCGAACAGGCCATGATGTAGCTGGAGTCCTGGTGCTCTTACCTCGGGTCCTTCCCTTGGTTTTTCCACTTGCCCTACTTCCAGACCTAGCCCCACTCCTGGTGGGGTGGCAGCCTCCACCCCGGCCTCCTGGGCAGGGTAAACTGGGTGCAAGGGTCCTGTTCCCAGAGATAGTGCCCAACCTGGCTCCTCTGCTGGCCTTTGCACTTGCCTGTTCCTTCAGAGTGCTGAAAAGGGCTTTGGCCTTGGCCTCTAGGCCACCTCCACTCTGAGCCCCCAAGTGGGCCTCTGCCTTTACATCTGAACCATTCTGGAGTTCCATGCCCACCTCAGCCTTGACCTTTGATTCATCCTGAAGTCTAGCCCCAGCCCCCACCCCAGCATTAGCCTTAGCTCCTTTCCCAGTCTGGACACCAGTCTCTACAATATCACTAGATTCTTCTTCATCGTCTTCCTCATTGTCGTCCCAGATTTTCTCATTCTCATCTCTTCCCCAGGTCAGCCTGTACACGCAGTAGCAGGCACCAGCCCCGATCACCACACCAGCGGCCACGCAGCCAGCTTCCCGAGTACGGCCCATGCTGGGGTGAACTTCTGAACCAAATTTTCAACCAGGGTAGAGTGGGGTTGCTCCTATGTTGGGGGCGGAGTCTTCAGCTACAGCTGGCAGGCCCGGTTGCAGCTTGCAGATACAGTGGAACCTAGGAATGAAGGAAAGATTTAAGGCATTAGTCTCCCCATTTTGTGCCTTTGCCTGCAGACAGACTGCACTACAGACCAGCAAACGGACAGAGATGTGACAGGGATTCAGGGCTGGATCAGTGATTCCTTTCCTCCACGGGGAAGATAATTTTGAAAATTTTCCCCACCTCCAGATCCTCCAACCTCATGTTCAACCATCCCACCCCAGTACGTTATATTTAAGGTATCTAATCAGTTCCCTACCTCCCCTACCCCTCCAGATGTCTTGGGGTAGTGGCACCCCCACATACACCAGCACAGGTACAGGCAGTTTCTTCCTTCTTTTCCTTGCCTGGAAGTCCACTGTGTCCTGCAACCTGCATACAAAGGGGTGGGGATGAGGATCCTGAAGGCTCAAGGGACAGGACTTCACCCTGGATGGGATACACTTCCCTCTCCGGAATCTCTGGCCCCAGTTCTGAGTAGCCCAACCCTCTACTCCTCAGCGCAGACTCCTCAGTCGCGGAGCTTTTGCTTCGAAATTCAGTATCTCCCTTCCCCATCTCCTTTATCTTTTTCAATCCTTGTTTCTGATTGAAACAAGAATTCAATCAGAATCCCCCCTAGTCAGTCACTTCCTTCAAAAGTGACTCCGCAACCCTTTCCCTGTAATAAAATGGATGGTGGTGGAGAGAGTGCTGAAGACAGACTGTAAAATGCACAAAACTCGCCCTTGCCCTTGCCTCTCCCACCCCCACCATCTCAGAGATACCGGACACTCCTCCCTCCAGCCATTATACCAACTTCCACCAATCCGGAGCAATTTCCTTCCCCCCTCATCTCAGTTTCTGCCTTCTCCACGAAACCTAAGGACTGCTAACTCTGGGACTGAGTGCTTGACCAACAGAGCAAACCCTAGACACTGTACTCCAAAGAGTAATTTGGAGCAAGATCCTCCCCACCCCCACTTCTGGCGACACTCCGCCCCCCAGCCACTTACTTCCTTTCTGTGTCGTCTAACTGCAAAGCACTTTGTTTTGAAAGCTCCAAAACGGAATAAAGTGGAGGAAAGGAGGGGAATGCGGAGGCGGTGCCCGGGTCCACTCGGGTTTGCAGTCTTCACAATTCTCCACCCCAGGGGTCCCCAAATAGTGCCACCACCCTCACTCTGACCTGCTTTTTCTGGACAATCTTCCTGCTTTCTAGGGTTGAACTGGCCCTAAAGTGCAAGATGCACAGACACACAAGCGACAGGGCAGACAGCTGGGCGGACAGAAGAGCACTTCACAGAATCCCAATAGCAGCTTTTCCGAATTCAGGATCCTGGTTGTCCAATATTGGCCTCTCACCCCTACCCCTATTCTCAGGACTCCGCTGACATCAGCCCTCTTCTTGCCGGCGTGCATTCACCCACTCCGCAGCCCCCACCTTCAGTGGTCCGCCATTTTCCCAGCAAAAACCACACCCCTTTCGAACAACTGGACCGGGAGGAGGCGGGGCGACGGAGTAGGGAAAACCAGAGGAGCAAAAGAGCCCCCTCCCCGATGCATTTCCACCCCCAATGACAGCCATTTTCCCTGCAGGCACTGTCACATCCTTTTTCCTACATAAAATAACAGGAAGGCAGCTGGAGTCAGAAATGGGCCCAAGTTAAGTCAAGGACCTCAGCCACCCCCACCCCCTCCGGGGACTGCGGGGCAATTCCACTTTGCACAGACCTGCAGGGATTCCAGGCAGATACGTTACTCTTTTGCTCTGAGTGGTACAGCGCCCTACTGAAAGACATGGGGAATGACAGACGCACAGCCTCACCATTCTGGCTTGGTAAATGGACCAGCACACAGGGCAAGAATCTTTGTAGCTGCCCTTCCCAATTCAAGGCCCCGAATGCCAAAGTTTTCAGATCCCCTCCCTCCTGGTCTGGGGTGTCCCCTGGAATCCGGACCCCAGCGTCCACCATTTTTGTTCTTGTAAAGGCCAGGGATAGTGCAAGCCTGTGGAGAAAGCAGGCCTTGTTCCTCTTTGGTCTCCACCCTCCGCTCCCCGCACCGCATAGATCCCCCAGGCAGCACCCATCCACACACAGACCTGCTGGGATTCAGGTAGTTACCTCCTCCTCCTTCCCTGGCCACAGGCCCGCCCGCCCTCTGGGTAATATGGAGCTGGTAACCGGACCAAACCAGGACCAGAATTAGAAGGATGCCTGCAAACGTCAGCTCCTGCTCACGTAAGGGCCACGTCACCCGTGAGTTCAAGACCCCAATTACCACTCCCACCAGCAGTGCGGCAAGAGCCGGCCCACCCCTTTCCTTCCCAGCTACATCAGGTCCTGCCACTCATTTTCTTTTGCCAATCCCAGAGGCTGAGGAGAGCTTCTCCTTGTGGCTGGAATTTGCCTTTCTCTGGTTAACACGGAGAAAGTGCATCTGTTCCCTTGTCCATTGGTCTTTTCTTCCTCTTTGAGGAACAGTTTTTTTTTCCCTTCTCTATTTCCTGTCCAATTGCTTCTCCCCTTCTCTCACTTTCCCCCACCCCCAGCCGTGAAGAGCCAGCATTTTATTTTTTTTTTAAGTTTTTATTTATTTATTTGATAGAGACCACAAGTAGGCAGAGAGGCAGAAAGAGGAAGGGGAGCAGGCTCCCTGCCGAGCAGAGAGCCTGATGCGGGGCTCGATCCTAGAACCCTGAGATCATGACCTGAGCTGAAGGCAGAGGCTTAACCCACTGAACCACCCAGATGCCCCAAGAGCCAGCATTTTCCCTGCACTCCTTTGTGCAATGGGTGGAAAGATCTCAGAAAAGAATATACGTAGTGGGAGTGTCTTACTTTCTTAAACTTTCCTGTTCATTTTTAAAAATCAGTAAAATGTTACTTTTATATTGAGAAAATTAAATGATGCTATTTTCATTTGAGTGGAGAATTTAAGTGGGAGCGAAAACCCAAAAGACCTCATTAATTACATTTTATTTATTTATAATACAAGAAAAATGTTTTACTGGTTATAACCAAATGGCAGCTTTCAAAATATACTAATCCATTTTAAAATTGAAAACAATTTTTTTCATACGATCTATGAATTAGTCCACAAAGATATCTAATCTTTAGTCGTCTAATTTTGGCCAGTTAATGTAAATGATCCACTACTTTTTCTACTTTAGGATCAACTTACAATTTGATAAAACAAAAGCAATACAATTCTGTCTTGTTTGATTAAAGAAAGACATGTATTTAATGTCCCAAAGTCTTGGCGGAATGCTGAAGGAATCTGTTGTGATTTGATGGCTGTTTTGAACACCTGCTCCTGGATTAGATTCCAGTCCACTAAGGAGGAGGCAGCTGAGGGTGTGGGGAATGTAGAAATGATCTGATCTCTCAGCTCTGTCAAAAAGGGAGGAAGGAGGTTGTTGACCCTCTACCTCCTCTCATATTCCTGAGCCTTGCATTCAGCCACTTGACTCTATCTCTGGCTCTAAAAGTACACAGGGACTGGTGACCAAGGTGGTAAATACCACCTTTACTCAGGGGACCAACTTGAGTAACTGTCTTTGGCTTCTTCCCTTTCTCCCTCCCTCCCCCAAATTCCCACAGGTGTAACTCAGGGATGCCTAGGAGGGACTGCTGCTCCCACAGAGCCCTGCAGCTGTGGGTTCCCATGAAAAAGAAGTGATTGCTGGCTGGCAGACGCACCCAGATCGGCCTGCTCTGCCCTCTCTCCTGGTGCCTTAGTTAACAGGGCTCCTTAACACTGCTGCTACCACCTGGCTGGAGGGGTGCAGCCAGCTGGGCCTCTTACCTCTGGCCTCCTTGCCACAGGGCACCCAGGGAGAACCTGGTCTTGCTGCAGGGTCACTGTCTGCAGCCCACACCCACTTTGCTGCCCCCTCAGCCAAATGTGTGCCGGGACCGCAGGGAGTCTCCCCACTGACCATACCTATTAACCTAGAGTGGGGTTTCTCAACTGACCACCTCTGTGCTGTACCTGAAATTGAAAACAAGGTTATGCACATACACATGTTCATTTCGTGGAAAGAGGGCTCATAGCTTTAATCAGATTCTCGTGGACATCTATGACTTTAAAAATATAATAAACTACTTGCCTAGGAAAAAAGACATATCCCCCTGTGTAGAAATCAATCTCTTCCTTTCTCTCTCTCTGCCTCTCTCTCTCTCATTATGCACATTTCTTATTTTTTTAAAAAAATGTGCAAACAGGGGCACCTGGGTGGCTCAGTGGGTTAAAGCCTCTGCCTTCAGCTCAGGTCATGATCCCAGGGTCCTGGGATCGAGCCCCACATCAGGCTCTCTGCTCAGCGGGGAGCCTGCTTCCTCCTCTCTCTCTCTCTGCCTGCCTCTCTGCCTACTGTGATCTCTATCTGTCAAATAAATAAATAAAATATTAAAAAAATGTGCAAACAATGCAGAAATGTATAAGGTAGAATGTGAACGTGCCCTACAATTCCTGTTCCACCACCAATGACTTTTAACAATTTCCACCTTTCCTCATGCAAATGCAGTAAGTATATGGATGCATGTGTCAACTTCCAAGTTGAACAATACACAGAATGAAATGGTTGACATTTAGTGACATTAAGTGCAATGAATCTGCACTTTGAGAACTGACATCTTTAAAAACTGTGTCTAGGGGCGCCTGGGTGGCTCAGTGGGTTAGGCCGCTGCCTTCGGCTCAGGTCATGATCCCAGGTCCTGGGTTCGGGCCCCACATCGGGCTTTCTGCTCAGCGGGGAGCCTGCTTCCTCCTCTCTCTCTGCCTGCCTCTCTGCCCACTTGTGATTTCTGTCAAATA